AGGAGAATCGCTTGAACCCAGGAGGCAGAGGTTGCCGCGAGCCAAGATCATGCCATTGCACTTCAACCTGGGTGACAGAGTGAGACTGTCTCCAAAAAAAATAATTAAAATAAAATATATGGGGAGGCTAAAGGAAGATAAGAGATATTTTAACAAGGTGTGTTTGTACAGACTTCTCTTGGCTTCAACTCCCTGTCTCTGGTGATGAGAATGCTTCTTTCCTCCTGGAGGAAGGCATTGTTCACGTGGGAATTTTGTTTCCTGCTTTCAAGAAGAAAGGGGGAGATTATAGCACTCTTGTTATACTGTTTTTCTTTTTCTTTTTTTTTTGAGATGGAATCTGGCTGTGTCATCCAGGCTGAAATGCAGTGGCACAATCTCTGCTCACTGCAACCTCTGTCTCCTGGGTTCAAACAATTCTCCTGCCTCCGCCTCCCAAGTAGCTGGGATTACAGGTGCTCACCACCATGCCCAGCTAATTTTTGTATTTTTAGTAGGGACAAGGTTTCACCATGTTAGTCAGGCTGGTCTCAAACTCCTGACCTCAAGTGATCTGCCTGCCTTAGCCTCCTGAAGTGCTGGGATTACAGGCCTGAGCCATTGCACCCAGCCTACTTATTGTTTTTCAAATGCCTTTATCTCAAATAATTGTTATGCCAAAATGGCATATTTTGAGGTGGCATATTCTACCATTCTTCAAGGGCTTCTACTCTATTGCCAACTACATCACAAGGACATCTTGAGGATTCGTTAAAATATTTGTAGGGGACCTACTATGCGCTAGGCAAGATACCAGGTGGTAGAGACACAACTGATAATCTTCCTCATCTAAATGGAGCTTATTATCTTCTCAGGTCAAAATGTTTTGATTAGGATGTAGGTTCACCAGCCATAACAAAGGCCAAAATAACAGTGCGTTTAAACAGAGAGAACTTTCCTTCTCATCTAAGCAGCCGAGGGCTGATATGGTAGCTCCATGGAGCTTGGATATCTAGACGGGATGCTCTGCCATTCTTAACACAAGATTTCCGTCTCATGGTCTTAAATGGCTGCTTTAGATGCTTTAGCTCCAGCATCAAACCTTCATTCCAGTCAGTAAGAGGAAAAGAGAAAGTGGGAGGAAACATTTTCCTAAAGGGTACGACCTGGGAATCACATACATCTGCAACGTCACACTGGTCAGAATTTAGTTACATGGCCATGTCTAGCTGCTGCAAGGGAAATGTAGCGTTTAGCTGGGCAGCCACATGGTGGGATAAAAGTCAGGGATCTGTTACCTAAGGAAGAAAGGCGAATGGGTTATGAGGGGCCAATAGCAAGCAGCACCTGGCCCACAGGAATATTGCTCTTGGGTCAGGCCAACCCGCTATCAACCATCACTGGCTCTACCACCTGACAGCTAACATATCTTAGGAAAATGAAGTCATACCTTTGCTACTCAATTTTCTCATCTGTAACATGAGGATTAAAATATATAACAGGATTGATGGGATTAAATTAGATAATATATGCAAAGCATCTGGAACTCAGCAGGTGCTCAATCCACATGTCCTTCCTGAATTGGTTTTGAAAGCATTTCCAAAGAAAACTCCAAAGTCTGAATGGCAGGAACAAGATGGATTCTCTCCTGGGTACCGCCTTCCGGGTTTGTTTTTTTCACGATCCCTATTTAGTTGTTTTATAAATTCTGGGGGTGTGTGGTGTTATTTAGAGTTATATAAAAACTTTTGTTTTGTTATTTTAGAGTTACAGCTCATCAGAATGAAGTCATCAGTGACAACACTTGATTTACATTATATTTCTGCATTTGTTGAAGCAGTTCAGTGCAGAATAATGCTTCAATGCAGACCCTAAGTCAGGCTGCTTGGATCCCAACTCCACCAAGAGCTATCACTGTACCACTGGGCATGTCATTCAATACGAAGTTTCAGTTGTCTCATCTGTAAAATGGGAATAACAGTAGCATTGCCGTGAGAATTAAATGAAACGATTGATGTTAGCATCTGGCACATATAAGTGCTTAAAAACGTTATCAGTGTCAAAGAAACACTTCACATTGTGTTTTAGAAATGAATTTTCTGAATCGCCAAAGTTATTTTCTCAGACCCATTGTGAGTCTCAAATAACAGGTAAAAGTGAAGCCACTTATATTGTGAAGTTAGAAGTTAAAGTTAATGAGGTTTTAGATAACATTATCCTATTGTACATGGGTATGTACATTAGTTTAGTGAACTTAATTTCCCACCATAATCACAGTCTGACCAATTCAGTTTCCCACAACAAACATATAAAACAAGCATAGCTTGAGGCCAAGAGCACATAGGGTACATCCCATTGGAGATAATAAAGCTCTTATAATTAAAAAGGAGGCTATCAGAAGATTAAAGCAGGGGGAGTTCTTGCTTTTTGCTGTGAACTAACCAGAAATGCATTTCATGATACAGAATAAGAATTAATGTAGCATAAAAAGAAGACCTTGGCTGGGTATCATGGCTCATGCCTGTAATCCAGCAGTTTGGGAGGCTGAGGCAAGAGGATAGTTTGAGCCCAGGAGCCCTACCACCAAGGACTAGCCTGGGCAACATAGTGAGACCTTGTTTCTTCTTCTTCTTTTTTTTTTTTTTTTTTAAGACAGAATATCTTACTCTGTCGCCCAGGCTGGAGTGCACTTGTGCAATCTCAGCTAACTGCAACCTCCATCTCCCGGATTCAAGTGATTCTCCTGCATCAGCCTCCTGAGTAGCTGGGACTACAGGTGCCTGCAACCATAAAAATTTTTATATTTTTAGTAGAGGTGGCATGTAGGGAAGAAGCCCATAAGCGCTGAGGCAGGAGCAAAAGGCCTCAGCCTATTTCCATATAAATAATGAAGAAGAAAGTAACTAGAAATATAACTGAAGTAGTTATTAGTTATTCATATGTGATCTTAGTTATTCATACGTGATCTTAATTCTTTTACTCATGCCTCTCAGGTCGGAAGTGTGAACCTGGGGTGACTTTGTGAAATGGGCGACACTAAGGCTGCTGGAGGGCACCTCAGCTGTGTGGCAGCGCCAGTGCTGTGAAAGGGCCTGCTGTTTAGCCAACTAGGGAAGGAGATGTCCAAAATGGCCGAGACATCTCCTTCCTGGGGAAGTTTGCAGAAAACTCGCTGCTCCAAGCTCTTGCCATAGGCCTGACGACTGTCAGGTTGGCCCGCAGACATCCGGGGGCTTAACTGTTTCTATGTGATGCTGTGCTTCAGCGGTCATGTTCCATGTCTACTTTTAGGTTCTACTTCTGCACCTGGTTCCTTTTGTCTTAGAAAAGATAATCAGTAATAGTAATATAAATCTTAATGTTTTAGTTCTTTCTTGATAAGTATGGGAAAAGTGCTGATGCATTATGCTCCTTACCTCAATTCGGGTGCCAGAAATTCCTGAGCCCCTACCTGAATGACACATGATGTACTTGACCCTATCACTGCCCCCATCACCGACCACCAAGGCCATGCCCTACCTACCCTGCCCCCAGATTTGCATCTCAATAAAAGTGAGAGTGTCCTAGCCTTTGGGACCACTGCTGGTCTCCGAGATTTGGGTAGCAGTGGATCCCTGGGTCCAAACTCTATTTTCTCTATCTCTGTGGATAGAGAAAATAGAGTTTGTGTCTTTTATTTCTACAATTTCTCGTCTCCGCACCAGCCAGGAGCAGCTCACAGAACACTGTAGGGCTGGACCCTACAGTGGTATTTCAGCATGTTGGCCAGGCTGGTCTTGAACTCCTGACCTCAAGTGATCCACTCACCTTGGCCTCCCAAAGTGCTGGGACTATAGGCATGAGCCACCTCGCCCTGCTGAGACCTCATTTCTACAAAAAAATATGAAAATTAGTTTGGTGTGGTGGTGCGTGCCTGTAGTTCCAGTTACTGGGGAGGCTGAGGCTGGAGATCACTTGATCCCAGAGGTCCAGGCTGGGATCAGGTGGCTGCACTGCAGCCTGAGTGACAGAGCAACAAACAAACAAAAATGTGTGGCAAGCTGACAGTCTAAGAAACAAAAAAGACCTTCCCTTTACCTGTGTCTTAGCTTGGGCTGTCATAATAAAATGTCATTGGTGACAGCAAAAAAAAAAAAAAAAAAAAAAGAAAGAAAAAAAAGATAAAACATCATAGACTGGATGCTCAAACAACAAATTAATTTTCTCACAGTTCTGGGGACTGGAAGTCAGATCAGGGTTCCAGTATGGTGACAGAGAGGAGGGGCGGGGAGAGAAGAAAGTCTTATAAGGGCACTAATGCTACCAGACCAGGGCCTACCCCTTATACCCCAACCAATGCTAATCACCTCCCAACTACCCTGTCTCCAAATACCATCACATTGGGGGTTAGGGCTTCAACATATGAATTTGGGAGGGGGGAAGGGGACACAAGCATTGAGTCCATAGCGGGCTGGATAATTATCTTTATCTTAGGGCCTTAATGGTAACTGGTTCGTTATTCTCCAACCTTTCCCCCTAACCATGCATAAGTATGTTTGCATTCTCAAAACCTCTCAGATAAACTCTACTTCTCCTCCCAAGAATTGTAATGTAACAGCATCGTGACCTGGAGCCTATGGTTTCAATTACATTTTAAACCATAGCTTCCCCAACCTACTTTAGGTTTGTAATTTTCTATTTCCGTAGCTATTATCTCGGTAAAGGAGGTAAATATGACTAGGGAAGTACTGCGTGATATCCTGGTAAAACAGAGGCAGGGGAAGCTAATGTAGTGGAGGGGGGTCTAAGTTACACAGAACGCTCGGTGGTGTCAATAAGACAGTAGCTTTCTGTACCAGGTACCACGCCCTCTGCGACGGCTTTGCAGGCATTAGCATCTGCGAAGTATGTACTTGTTTCCTGTTGCATACGCGAGACACTGAAACCAACAGTGTCCACATTCACTCGGCCACTAAGCAGTGGGGCAGGAATCGAGGCTAACCGCTACGCCACACGGCTTTCTCAGAGTTACAAAACCAGCACTTATTATCAAAGGGCGGCTGGGAGCAAGGCATTTCAGCGCATCTGGAAATGTGTGGCAATCTGTAAACGCTCCCGAGGTGACCTGAGATCCCGGCTGTAAGGTAAGCTGACCCAGGTGGGAACGGTTCTCCGATCCAAGCGCTGCTAGAGCCCGGACCCTCTAGCCCGGGGCTGCTTCCGGAACCCGTGCGTGCTGGCCCGGCCACTCCGGGGGCGGGGCGAGCGCCGCGCATGCGCCGGTGTTGGACCGCGCCGGGCCGGGCCGGGGGCGCGAACCCTGTGATTTGGATGTCTGGGCTGCGAGCGTTGCTAGGGCTCGGGCTGCTGGTTGCGGGCTCGCGCCTGCAGCGAATCACAACCCAGACCAGCGCCTGCCGCTCGGGACCGACCTGGTGGGGACCGCAGCGGCAGAACTCGGGTGTCCGCTGGAACTCAGAGGTCATGGCTAGCACGGCGGTGAAGTACCTGAGGTAGGCGCGGGTCTCGGGTGGGCGGGACCTGGAACTGCTTGGCCACCTGTGCGACGGAGAACACGAGGGGCGGGACTCAGTCCGCGGGTTTTCCTCAGCCAGGAGGAGGCCCAGGCCGTGGACCAGGAGCTATTTAACGAGTACCAGTTCAGCGTGGACCAACTTATGGAGCTGGCCGGGCTGAGCTGTGCCACAGCCATCGCCAAGGTCAGTGGCACAGCTCTAGACCTTTGGGAGCATCCAGGCAGGAGTCACTGTCCCAGCCCCCGGGCCTAGGCACAAAGCGGTGGGAGAGACAGCTGGGCCAGTCTGGTCTGTTACTGCCTGAAACCCCGCTGAACCACCCTTGACTCTGCCTTCAGGCATATCCCCCCACGTCCATGTCCAGGAGCCCCCCTACTGTCCTGGTCATCTGTGGCCCGGGGAATAATGGAGGAGATGGTCTGGTCTGTGCTCGACACCTCAAACTCTTTGTGAGTATGCCAGGCTGGGCTGTCGGGGAGGGTGTGAGGGCTCTGGATCTGGGTTCGAATTCCCATTTTCCTTTCTTCCTAGGGCTACCAGCCAACCATCTATTACCCCAAAAGGCCTAACAAGCCTCTCTTCACTGCGTTGGTGACCCAGTGTCAGAAAATGGACATCCCTTTCCTTGGGGAGATGCCCTCAGAGGTAGGTGGCTACAGTTTAATACCTCATCTCCCATTAACCACTGACTGTGCTCTGCCCTTCCTTCAGGTTTCCAGGCTGAGCTCATTTTAGTGCCTGGTACAGAAGATGCCTAATGGATGCTATTTGAATAAGTGTGTAAGAGCCTTCTTCTTCACAAAGTGTGCTCCATGAGTCTCCCACACCTTCCCCTCCCCCCCCCACAAACTCACTGCTTAGTATCACAGAACCACAACACCTTCTCTAAAGCTTCCTTCCCCTTTCATCTCTCTGGTCCCTCCTTCCACTCTAGTCAGATCCCCTTGCCCTAGCATGCAGTCAACACATGATCTGCCCCTCAGAGGCTGGAGTGACAGCCCTATCTGAAACTCTTTCTGCAGATGCATAGATTAAGGGATGGGAAATTGAGTAATTTTTTTCCCTTAACCCATTTTACAGATGAAGATACTGAGGCACAGAGAAGTGGTTTGCCTAGTCACTGAATTGGATCATGGCAGAGCTAAAACCAGCATCTGGCTCTCTTGACGCCATCTCAGGCTATCCCACCCTGTAGCCTCCCCAGTGGCAGGCAGGCACCCAGAACAAAAACTGTCTGGACTCAGTTTGACCTGAATCAGTGACCAACTCACACTTTCTCTAGGCCTCAGGCTACCCTCTTAATGGAATACAATACTTGTGCCTCTGTGAATGGTCTGCAGGTGCAGAGGACAGCCTCTCCAGTTAAGGTTGTTTGTGCAGCTGCTGGCTCTGACATCCTTTTTCTAATCCACCACAGCCCATGGTGATTGATGAATTGTATGAGCTGGTGGTGGATGCCATCTTTGGCTTCAGCTTCAAAGGTGATGTTCGGGAACCGTTCCACAGCATCCTGAGTGTCCTGAAGGGACTCACTGTGCCCATTGCCAGCATCGACATTCCCTCAGGTGCTGGGACCCAGGAGGTGGGGTGGGAATGAGTGGAGATTGGGGCCCTACCCTCCTGATTTTTGCCCAGACAGGTCTAAAATAATATGAGTATAGAGGGGCAGAACATAGCTTTCTGGACCCCCATCAGGGACGGGGAATGGCATTCAGAAGTCCCCTTTACATGTTGGGCCCATGAAGAGACCACGGCCCAAGGGTACGTGGAGCTTGTAGGATGAGAGCTCCTTAGGTGGGAACTGAGAGGACTTCCCACTTCTCTGGGACTAGGGTAAAATAAGGTGTAGAAGGGGACAGGACATCTGGCCTCTTCCTGAATACCACCCTTTTTCAGGATGGGATGTGGAAAAGGGAAACCCTGCAGGGATCCAGCCAGACTTGCTCATCTCCCTTACGGCACCCAAAACATCCGCAGCCCAGTTTACTGGTCGCTACCATTACCTGGGGGGTCGTTTTGTGCCACCTGCTCTGGAAAAGAAGTACCAGCTGAACCTGCCACCCTACCCTGACACCGAGTGTGTCTATCGTCTGCAGTGAGGGAAGGTGGGTGGGTATTCTCCCCAATAAAGACTTAGAAGCCCCTCTCTTCTGGAACTGTGGAGTCCTGGGAGCTCCTCTGGCAATAAAGGTCAGTGAGTGATGGAAGTCAGAGAGCAACCCTGGGGATTGGGTGCCATCTCTCTAGGGGTAACACAACAGGCAAGAGATTGCTATGGTATTTGGAAACAATGAAAGTTGACTGTCAGATGCCAAGTGAGTTGTGCTGTCCTTTACACAATTCTTATTCATTTGGGAAACAGATAGGGAGCTACTTCCACTTATCAGTAGCAAGACTACAAGGAGGTTAACAGAAGGAATTTCTTCAAAGGCCTCCAAGGAGTATCTTCTAATTTGTATTCAGGACCTTCCCATGCTGGGAACAGAGATGCCAGTCGGGATTTGTCTCTAGGCTAGGAACCCAAGTTGATGTTTATTCATTCATCTGGTAGTGCTAGAAACTGGCAACTGTGGGCTAAATCTAGCCCATAGACCTAAATTTGTTTTTCTTAACCTTCACAATATTTAGAAATCAGAGCACTTCACATAAGGCTACATTTTCAGCTTCTTTTAAGAGGAAAGCTCCTTGAAAGGGTATCTGCATTCCTGTTCCCACAGCCCTCAGCATTCCTTGTCCCTTAGCAGCCTGACTCCTCTAGGCACCTGAGTTCATGATCCTGGGTTACAAGCTACAGAGGGGACTATGCTGGTTCCCTCAACTAAGGTATAATACTACTGCTGGCTCCTCTCAGAAGTGGACATCCTGGAGATCAGTTTCCTTTTTGGGAGGGACTCCTCAATGAGGGGGTGCAGAAGACCTGCAGACCTGCATCGATCCTGTTCTTTGAGCCTTCCACTCCTGAAAATGAATCGCTTGAGCCCCACCTTGGTCAGGCCTTTAGTCTCTCTCTTTCTGTTTCTTCTTTTTGGCTCTCTGGCCAGTGCTGACTCCAGCTCTTTCCTCCTCGGGATGCTGCTGCCTCCTCCTCTTACCTCTGCTGCTTGAGCCTGTACGTGCTCTGCTCTCTGCTTCCCTAGCCCCGCCATCCTCCTCATCCCTTACATCCAAGATATCCTCCCCCTCTTGATGCTGCTGTGTTTTCTTCTTGCTTCTCCTGCGTCTTCCATCACTGCATGCTCTGCTCTCTGCTTCCCTGGTCCCACCACCTAAAACAGTTTCCTCACCTCCATACTCTAGGTTCAAGTCCTCCTCCTCCTGTTGCTGCCTCTTCTTTCTTTGGCTGCATCGGTCAGCGTATGCCCTGCTCTCTACCTCCTCTGTCCTGACACTGCCTGCAGCCTCCTTGCCTTTTCCTCTTTCTTCTAAGACCCCCATCTTCTCCTCTTCATGGTGCCACCTCTTCTTTTTCTTCTTTTTCCTGAGGGACTGATTGGTTTGCTCTCTGCTATTCAATTCCCCAAGCCCACTTGTTCCTGCAGCATCCTCCTCCTCCTCCTCATTCCCTTCAGTTGTATCTTCTCTTTCATCTGAGACCTTTCCTTGATGTCGCCTTTTCTTCTTCTTGCTTTTTCTGATGCTCTGGTCAGCATGTTCTGGGTGCTTCTCATCAGCATCATTCCTTTCAAATACTGTAGCTTCTTCCTCTTTCTGCTTCCTTTTCTTTTTCTTTTTTTTGGGGGGCATGCTCTCTGACTGTGGTTGAGGGGCCCCAGGGTCCTGGCCTTTGAGACGAGCCAGGAAGGCCTGCTCCTGGGCCTCTAGGCGAGCAAGCTTTGCCTTCATTGTGATCCCAAGACGGGCAGCCCTGAAACAGACAGGGTCCAAGTCAGAGCGAGGCTATTGGGGGAAACTGGCCTAGTCCTTAAGCCTACAGGGAAAGTCGGTGGAGGGCAGGAGTGGGGAGCTGCCTATCTTCAGGAATAGATGGGTAAGTAGCAGAAATCATTTCCCTGGGGTAAAAAGAACCAAGAAGTGGCACGGGCCATGCTCAAAGGTGGGAAGAAAAGGGAGCTCAAGGAGCTGACCACTACTTACTTGTGTGCTGTTCGCCCCTCACAGGCTTGGAGCAGCATCTCATCAGTCAGACTGTTAGGGGAGACTGGCAGTTACAAACAGACCTGGTGGAAAGGCTTAACCTCTCCTACCTCTAAAACATTCCTTCAACACAATTCTTATTTAGGACCTGGCACTTTTTGAGGTACTAGGGATACAAAGATTAGTACAACACAGTTCCACCCACCCCCAAGAAGCCCCCAGTAAAGCATTAGACTTAGGACTTTCTCTTGTGATCTGAGGACATCTCCCACATTCCCCAAGAGCTAAAATGAAGTCTCACATCTTTGGGGACTTGGGCCCCTGGTTGTCATCACTGCAGCTCTCCAAGTCTTTGTGCGGCTTCTCTTCACCTGAAGTCAACGTGGCTGTCTAGGAGGGGTCATGGGGGTGGACAAGGCCTTCTCAACACCACCGACCATCCCTATTCCCTTGTGGAAGCCCCCTAAGAATTCACAGCTCCAGGCAGGACTTTGCCAGCCCCCACCACTGCTCCTTGAGGAGCCACGGGGAGGTGTGCCATCCTGCATACTTGAACATGGACAGGAGACAGGTTGCTGCTGTTGGGATGTGCAGTAGCTTTGCCCTCTCTGGCCCACAGCTGGCTGGTGAGCAGAAACAAGAAAAGGAAATGCTCTGGTTCATCAGGTCTTTACAGTGGGACAAGTGCCAGTGATCGACAGTAAAGATGCCCTGCTCCACCCCCACCAGAGTACCTGTTCATAGTACCTTCACTTCATCAGATTAAGAGCCTACTCTGGGCCAAGGAGCTGGGGACTCAGAGTGGATGAAGAATGACATGGGTCCAGCCCAGGAGGAATTTACACAGGCAGTTATGATGCTAGTGTTGCCTGTGCTAGAGGAAGGGTACTCAACTCAAACTTCAGAGAATGGCTTCTAAAAATAACCAACGTATACACTGAGCTCTGGATGATAAGAAATAGCAAGTAAAGGGGGAAAGGGAAAGTGTCCCAAGCAGAGGGAGTAACATGCAATAACCCGAAGAAGGAAGAATGTAGGACCAAAGAAACGGGTTGGAGTCGTTAGGCTAGTGGTTAGGCTAAAGTGTCGTGGTCCTGGAGAGAAGTGGCAAGAGATGAGGCTGGTGATGGCAGGAACAGGCATGCAGGGCCACGTAAGCCAGTCCGCTAAATCTGGACTGTGTCATCCTAGGTCAAAGAAGGCCCAGAGACTTGATGACATTTCTGTTTTAGAACAATCTGGATGCTTCGTGTAGGATGGACTGGTTGGGTTGGGGAGTGAGAGTAGAGGTGTCCTTAGGAGGCTGGTGGAGAAAGTAATTAGGCAAGAAATGATGACGGCCCGAAATGGGATGTAGATGGCAACAGAGAGGCAGAGAAATGGGGTAGATTTGCCGGATAACATGAGTAGCCCTTAACACACAATGACCATTATGTTAGCTTCCTTCTGTTGGTGCAGTAGAAAGGGGAGGTCTTGAGACCTGCGTTCCAGTCCTCTTTGCCATTACCAGCCTGCTGTGGACTCCAGCAAACCACTTTTTACCCTTTTAGCCACATCTGCAAAGCAGGGATGGTTCAGATAATCTCTCAGGTCTCCTCTGGCTTCTAAGTCCTTTGAATTAGATGTCCCCTGGCCCCCCCAGGATTGGCAGATCCTGACTTAAGAGACTGTACCCTACCTCCCACTCCCTATTACTGCTCCCTTAACAGATGGCAGGTTCCATGGAACCTGAAGATCTCAATTCCTGCTGTCAGGGTCTGGGTAGTCTTAAGTAAGCAATAGCAAGGCTGGCCACAGGAGCCCACTATGTTAGGGAAGTCCTGAGAATTGATAAGGCATATAAGGCAACTGTTCAGGCCCCGGGGAGACCAGGGAAGAGAAGAGGATGGATTCTGTCACCCACAGCCTCTAATACCTTCACAAACTTCTGATACAGCAAGTTGGGCTTGGGATGATTATAACGGGTGGTCTCCTTAGAAAGGCTCCTTATCTGTACTCCATCCTGTAGAGAATGATCAGCACCAGTGAGTGGGTGACATACTGTGACTGCCGGCCCACCCCACAGGTCCCAGGCCCTGTTTCATGTGCCCATCTATCAGGAGCTCATACCTGCCCAGTTTCCACTACCAAGTTAGCCGCAGTCTTGTTGAAGAGCTCATTCCACCAGTGGTTTGTGAACTCCTTGGCAGGGTCATGTCCTACCTGCCAGGGGAATACGTATGAGCTCTGAGTGCCTGCCTCAAGGGTACCCTCTCTCACGCATGCTAACCTCCCTCAGCCTATCCAATCTTACCCCATGAGTGTCTTGCTTCAGCGTCACCCTGAGGGCCTGTGTGATACCATTTTCCTTCCGGCCGAGGCCTTTGCCTGCAGAGGACAGTGAGTAACTTGGCTGATTCTCCTGCCTGCCATCAGCCCTCACAAGGCACCCCCGACATGTGCTTCTTGCCATTCCAGACAGCTGACGCTGGGGTATACTCTACCTCTGAGCAGCCCTCCCAGCTCCTTTCTTTCTAGTACCACTCCATATAGTTCCCTGCCTTTGTGTGAGTCTGAACTCTCTCTTCCTTCATAATTCTTTTGGGAGAGAGACCATGTCTCTTCTTTCCTCTAGTCCTCCTAACTACTTATTATCCACTGTCAAATTTCTTTGATTCTTTCCTTTTCTGGGAAAGTCAGAAATTTTCTTCTGCAAATTTCCCTTTTCCTCCTTTAATTAAATGGACCACATGGGAGATAATCCAGGATGATGCCTCTCCCCTGTGCAGAAGGTAGGCGGGGAGTTGGGGGATGTGGAAGAGGCCCCATGGGGATCACCTTGAGTCCATCCATGCTTTAGCAGCTGCTCCTCAGCAAACTTCATCCCACGACTCTTGACCTCTGGAGTGACATTCATGGTGAGAAAAAACTCTCTATCCTCAGACTCTCACCAGAGAAGAAGAGGTGATATCATCCTTTTAAGAAGAAAGGAAAAAGTACCCAAACAGCCATCAGTTCCATCCTGACTGCTTAAGAATTCTCTGCTAGTTGGGTGTAGTGGCACACACCTGTAGTCCCAGCTACATGGGAGGTAGCTGGGACTGAGGTGGGATTGACGAGTCCAGCCTGGGCAGTAGAGCAAGACCCTCTCTTATAAAAAGAAAGCAGCCAGGTGCAGTGGTTCACGTTTGTAATCTCAGCACTTTGGAAGGCCAAAGTAGGAGGATCACTTGAGCCCGGTAGTTCCAGACCAGTGTGGGCAACATAGTGAGACCCTGTCTCTAGGAAAAATTAAAAATTAAAAAAAGAATTATCTTTCTTGAGCACTGGGGAGAGACAGAGGAAGGAGGTGGCCTAGTCTTTGGGGAGCTCCCTATCTGGCTACAGAGACGCCAATATACGGAGAAGTCAAGGAGGAATGGTGTCTCAATTCAGATACCTACATTTATGGTGTGCCCACCGCATGCCAGGATGTGCTAAGACTTTACAAAGATTATTTCATTTAATCTTCCCAGCCCATTCAGAGAAATATTAGCCTATTTTACAAATGAGTAAAGTAAGGCTTAAAGAGGTTAGGTGACTTCAAGTCACAGAGGTAACATGTAGAATTCAAGCCCAGGCAGCTTGTCTGCAGAATCTATACTCTACTCTGTAAATCTATACTCTTTATACAGTATCTCCCAAAATATATTACCTTGTAAACACGAACCTAATGAGGTGCTTATTAACCTGAGTCATAAGATAATGGTACTTGGTTGAGACCAGATCCTGTACTTATGCTTCAGCATTTACACTGTCGTCTTGGTCTGGGGGCTACACACTTCTCCGACACCACTGCTGTATTTCAGTCTGGCTGGAGTTTACCTTTTGAAAGTGTCCAGGGGCCCGGCACGGTGGCTCATGCGTGTAATCCCAGCACTTTGGGAGGCCGAGATGGGTGGATCACGAGGTCAAGAGATCGAGACCATCCTGGTCAACATGATGAAACCCCATCTCTACTAAAAATACAAAAAATTAGCTGGGCATGGTGGCACGTGCCTGTAATCCCGGCTACTCAGGAGGCTGAGACAGGAGAATTGCCTGAACCCAGGAGGCGGAGGTTGCAGTGAGCAGAGATCGTGCCATTGCACTCCAGCCTGGGTAACAAGAGTGAAACTCCATCTCAAAAAAAAAAAAAAAGTGTCCAGATTAGGAAGGGCATTCTTATTGAGCACTTACTGCATAAGAGGTAGCTTACATATATTGACACATTGTCATATTAACTCAGTCAATCTTTTTTTTGAGACAGGGTTGCTCTGTCACCCAGGCTGGATGGAGTGCAGTGATACAATCATGGTCCATTGCAGCCTCAAACTCCTGGGCCCAAGCAATCCTCCCACCACAGCCTCTCGAGTCGCTGGGACCACAGGCACATGCCACCACACCTGGCTAATTTTTGCTTTTGTACATACAGGGTTTTGCCATGTTGTCCGGGCTGCTCTCTAACTCCTGGGCCCAAGAGATCTGCCCACCTCTGCTTTCCAAAATGCTGGAATTACAAGTGTGAGCCACCATGCTTAACTCATTTAATCTTGATAGTCTTGTGAGACAGATATTATTATTATTTTACAAATGAGGAAAACAAGGCCTGGGTTTCTTGCCTAAGGTTACATGGCTAGTAAATAATGGAGCTGGAATTAAACGATGGAGCTAGAATATAAGCCCACGTTGCCTGACTCCAAAGTGGTCCTCTTTCTTTCTTTTCTCTCTTCTTTCTCTTTTTTCTCTCTCTCTCCCTTTCTCCCTCCCTCCCTCCTTTCTTTTGGAGTCGCAGCCTGTCACCCAGACTGGCGTGCAATAGTGTGATCTTGGCTCACTGCAACCTGTGCCTCGCAGCCTGAAGCAATTCTCCTGCCTCAGCCTCCCTAATAGCTGTGACTACAGACGTGTGCCACCATGCCCGGCTAATTTTTGTATTTTTAGTAGAGATGGGGGTTTCACCATGTTGGCCAGGCTGGTCTTGAACTCCTGACCTCCGGTGATCCACCCAACGGAACCTCCCAAAGTGCTGGGATTACAGGTGTGAGTCACGGTGTCCGAGCAAGAACTGATGTTCTTCATCACTACACTCTTCAGTCTCAAGCTTTTTGTGCTTTCTCCTGTAAGACCACAGTCTAACCCTTGTCGCAGTAATTCAAAACTACATGCCCTGGAAGTAAGAGACCAGCTTAATTCCGCAACTCCAGAGCACGTAACGCGGCGTACATTCAGTCGTTATTTGTTGAACTGAATGAGTGGGAATGGCTTTAACGGATTTTCAATGGAACTGGACAGAAGCTGTGCACCCCAGTGTTTCTGAAAGCTGTGCTCACACTTTGGACACTGTCCCCTCTACAGTCTGCGTTTTCAGAAGTGGCCCCAGGTCCACTCGTCTTACAGCAGTCCGAAAGAGCCGGCTGCACTTTCCCTAGCCTTCCTTGCTCTTGATGTCTAAATTCTAGCCCTCCTATCACAGCGCCACTAGGATAAAAAATACTCCGCTCCTCTTACATTTGCTACTAAGCCCGGGCTCCGACTACCACCGTTCCGGGAAGGGGGCCCCTTACCGTCATTGCCGGATCCTCTCCGCGGAAACATGTGTCAAACGTGACTTGTGCGTCGCCATCTTCCCGGAAATGCCATGTTGTTCCTTCTAGGCTGTAAAAACCATAGAGATGTCCGCGGGCCCGAAAACCACGGTCCTCCCAAGAGAAACCATTGCGTAGGCCAAGTAGCCGGTATGGTTGCCATAGAAACTGGGACCTGGAGCGTGCCCATTTCGGAGGTTCAGAGGCTCAAGGATTTGCCTCATGCCTGCAATCCTTGACCAGCCAAGGGACTTCAGCACTAAGTAGCCCTCTCAGGATGCCAAGAACTGCTGTGTGTCCTACACTGAGCTAGTCCCGGGTACAAATATCAGGAAGCAAAACTCTAGGGAAGCTTCAAGAGTAGCTTGAGAAATTCGTGGAGGCAGAATAGGTGATGGCTATTCTGTGTCCTGACAACTGTGTCCTGATTTTGCAGGATTGAATACTCATGAATACTCAGCCTTCACAGGAACAGTTATTTATACAAGCCTAGAGACTAGACATCTCAATAGGTTCATTAAGCACTTTTTTTCCCTCCCGGAGACAGGATCTCTGTGCCCAGACTTGAGTGCAGTGGCACGATCTTGGCTCACTGCCACCTCTGCCTCCTGGGCTCAAGTGATCCTCTCACCTCAGCCTCCTGAGTAGCTGGGACCACAGGCATGCACCACCATTCCTGGCTAAGTTTTGAATTTTTTGTAGAGAAGGGGTCTTGCCACGTTGCCCAAGTTGGTCTCCAACTCCTGGCCTCAAATAATAAACACTCCTCGGCCTCCCAAAATGGTGGGATTACAGGCCTAAGCCACCATGATCGGCCTCATCAAACACTTTTCGACTTACCACTGTGTTGAGAAACATTAAGTTTGCCCTGCCCCCATGGCTCCTCTGTGGAGGATACCTTTTAGTTTGTAATTAGTGGTAGGCGTGTAACAGCTGCCTCCTTGGTATATTCTTGAGTTATGTGTAAATGTAGAGCACCTGTGTATTAATAAGAATTACCTGTCAAAGAGCAAATAAATGCGTGGATGAGAATCTGCTCTGGGCCTTTAGTCTGGAGAGCTGTCAGCCCAGCAGGCTTTCAGGCTGTTAGTCCCCAGGTTAGATCCACTCTGTTGTGCTAGCTGGGTGACTGCCTCTCAGATACCTTCAGCGCTGCCTGGTTGGCTGTCTCCCGACCAAGCTAGTTCTCGGTACCACTGTGTGCCAGAACTTGTCCCTTTGGTAGCGGGGGATACAAAGATGCATAAGTCATGGGTCTTGATTTCGGGTAACACCCAGTCTAGCCTGGGAAAGTTGGGACCTTGAGTGGGATTGGATGGAGGACATGGCCAGTGAGACTTGGAGAAAGACGCAGGATGGGCGAGGCTTGGTGGCTCCTGTACTTTGGGAAACCAAGACAGGAAGATAGCTTGTGCCCAGGAGTTCGAGACCAGCCTGCCTGGGCGACATGGCGAGACACCAGTTCTACGGGCAAACTTGAGTTTTGCCGTGGTGTCTTGCAGTCACTGAGAAAATTCCACAGGCAGGGCTTCAATTTCCACACACCCCCTACCTCTCCATCTCTTCTATTCCTTGTATCTAAAAGGAATTTTAAATTCATACATATATGTAGGTACACACATATATACATAGTCATGTGTGTGTGTATATATACATGTAATATATAACAGTTTTAAAAATTCTGAATGAGATAACCCTCAAGGTCCCTTTCCAACCTAGAGTTTTTGTGTGATGCACTTTGCCAGCCACTCCGAAGACTTAATGGCCATAAATCTTTGAATGAAGATTCCTAGTCTGGCCTAAGTCGAGCTTACCATTCTGCCTGACTCGATGAGGGATTGCAAGAGAAATGGGTCTCAAGGAGTTCACAGTTTAATGGGGTCTCATACCTCCTTGCAAGCATAGAAATAAAGGCCATTATTAGAAAACAAGAATACATAAATACTTATAAAGAAATGACCTAAAATGCTGATAACAAGATGCATAGGAATATTTATTACAGTAACATTTATAAAATGGAAAAATTGGCAAGAATCAAAATTATCTCCTGACAGGAGAAAGGCAAAATAAATTACAATGTAAACATACAATGGACTAATGTGTAGTCTTCAAAAATTATGTTGAATAATTTTTTTTTTTGAGATGAAGTCTTGCTCTGCCACCAGGCTAGAGTGCAGTGGTGTGATCTCAGCTCACTGCAACCTCCACTTCCTAGGTTCAAGCGATTCTCCTGCCTCAGCCTCCTGAGTAGCTGGGACTACAGGTGCGCGCCACCATGCCTGGCTAATTTTTGTATTTTTGCATTTAGTTTCACCATGTTGGCCAGGATGGTCTCAATCTCTTCACCTTGTGATCTGCCTGCCTCAGCCTCCCAAAGCACTGGGATTAAAGGCATGAACCCCCGAGCCTGGCCAAAGAATTCTTAATAGCTTGGGTACATGTCTGTGATGTAATTGAAATGAAAGAAAATACAAAATATTACCTACAGCAAGAACCTATCTATGTTAAAAATTCAAAGGCAATAGGATCAAAAGTAATAAAATACTTAGGAATAAATTTAACAAAAGAAGTGCGAGCTTTATACATTGAAGCTACAAAACCTCATTGAAAAAAACTAAGAAGAGCTAAGTAAATGGAAAGATATCCGGTGTTCATGAAATGGAAGACAATATTGTTAAGATGACAATGCTCTCTAAATTGATCTATAATTTCAACACAATCTCTATCAAAATCCCAGCTGGCTTTTTTTTTTTTTTTTTGCATAAATCAACAAGCTCATCCTAGAATTCATATAGAAATGTAAAGGGCCAGCTGGGCCCAGTGGCTAACACCTGTAATCCCAGCACTTTGGGAGGCAGAAGCAGGAGGATCACCTGAGGTCAGGAGTTCGAGATCAGCCTGGACAATATGGTGAAACCCCATCTCTACTAAAAATACAAAAATTAGCCAAGTGTGGTGGCACAAGTCTGTAATCCTAGCTATTTGGGAGACATGAGAATCGCTTGAACCTGGGAGGTGGAAGGTGCAGTGAGCTGAGATCATGCCATTGCATTCCAGCCTGGGTGACAGGGTAAGACTCTGTCTCAAAAAAAAAAAAAAAAAAGAGAGAGAGAGGTGTAATCCTTAGACCTCAGCCTCCTGAGTAGCTGGGACCACAGGCATGGCCCACCACATCTGGCTAATTTTAGTATTTTTTGTGGAGATGGGGTTTCGCCATGTTGCTCAGACTGGTCTCCAACTCCTGGGCTCAAGTGTTCCTCCTGCCTCGGCCTCCCAAAGTGCTGGGATTACAGGAGTGAGCCACTGCGCCCATCCTAAGCCCCCTACTTTTGATACCTGATCACCCTTGATATCTGATCAGGTTCCTCATCCTTCACCAGCCATCCGGTGATATCTGATTACCCAAGCCTGTCTTCAGCAAGAATCTTGTAAGGTTTTAGCACAAATCCCCTTTACCCCTGGTGTTTTCTCTTAATAATTTCCCATCTACTGACCACCACCCTGCACCTCGCTTATAAATTCCCACTTCCCATGCTGTATTGAGAGTTGAGCCCAATTTCTTGTTCTCTCCCACTGCAAAATCCCATTGTGGTGGTCTCCATACCTATCTCAATGATCCTGAATAAAGTCACCTTACCATGCTTTAACAAGTGTCATTGAATAATTTTTTTCTTTTTCTTTTCTTTTTTTTGAGAGTGAGCCTCTCCCTGTCTCGTGGGCTGGAGTGCAGTTGCTTGAGGCTCACTGCAACCTCTGCCCAGGTTCAAATGCTTCTTCTGCCTCAGCCTCCTGAGCAACTGGGATTACAGACACCTGCTACCACATCCAGCTAATTTTTGTGTTTTATTAGAGATTGGGTTTCACCATGTTGGCCAGGCTGGTCTTGAACTCCTGACCTCAAGGGATTGGCTCACCTCAGCCTCCCAAAGTGCTGGTTTTTTTGTTTGTTTTGTTTTTTTTTAGGGTCTCACTCTGGCACAGGTTGGAGTTCAGTGGTGCAATCATAGCTCACTGCAGCCTCGACCTCTCTAGGCTCACGTGATCCTCCCATCTCAGCCTCCCAAATTGCTGGGATTACAGGCGTGTGCCACCATGCCCAGCTCATTTTTGTATTTTTTTGTAGAGATGGGGTTTCACCAAGTTGCCCAGGCTGGTGGTCTCAAACTCCTAGGCTCAAGAGATCCACCCATCTCAGCCCCACAAAGTGCTGGGATTACAGGTGTGCGCCACTGGGCTCAGCCACCTAATTTTTAAGAGGACATAAAATCCGGGCTGGGCGCTGTGGCTCACGCCTGTAATCCCAACACTTTGGGAGGCCGAGGCGGGTGGATCACGAGGTCAAGAGACGGCGACCATCCTGGTCAACATGGTGAAACTCCGTCTCTACTAAAAATACAAAAAATTAACTGGGCACGGTGGCGCGTGCCTGTAATCCCAGCTACTCAGGAGGCTGAGGCAGGAGAATTGCCTGAACCCAGGAGGCGGAGGTTGCGGTGAGCCGGGATCACGCCATTGCACTCCAGCCTGGGTAACAAGAGCGAAACTCCGTCTCAAAAAAAAAAAAAAAAAGAAAGAAAGAAAGAAAAAAGAAAAAAAAAAAAAGGACATAAAATCCATACACAAATGAAAATCACATTCCACTTACTTAACGATTTTTATCTGTTTCTAATGAAACAAAACTAATACCTTTACATACTGAAAAATAATCTGTACACCAACCCCCCACGACACCTGGTGATCCCTCAAACGTGCACAAGACCTGAACCAGGTGCAGCGCCCAGAACGCTACAGGGGCACTCAGCGGTGGAGATGCAGCCTTCTTGCCCCACCTGCTGGCTGTCTGCCTTATTACATGTTGCCATTTCTCCTGCCTCAGCCTCCAGAGTAACTGGGACCACAGGCACCTGTCACTGTGCCTGGCTCCTGCTTCTTGCTTTTGTTAAGGAAAGCTTCCCCGGAGGAAGCACAAATGGGTGCACCTAAAGTGTCTTTGATGTTGCTAGTGGGACTGAGGAGCAAAAAGGGTGGCCCACAGGACCAGCAAAGAGCAAAGGATGTCCTTAGCTAGGAGAAGGCCTTGCAGAGGATTCTTGCTGATAATGGCCACTTCCTCTTGGAGCCTATAGCTGGAGATACAAAGTGGTCCTATCCTTCCAAGAGTTTTAGCTCCCTAGGAACTCTTGCAGTAGTTCTGCCAGCGCATTTATTGAAGGGAAGAGGAGGCTGCTAGTCTGTTGCCCTAGATAAAGGGAAGTTGAGAAGTGGAAAAACACAATTCTCAAGCTTTTTTGTTATTTGTTAAGTCTTGTCATCATTTTATTTAACTCATTAATGAGGGAACCAATAAGGAGACAAAAGAGCTGCTTTGAGGAGCATTTTAGAAACAGGACTTTTATTTATTTATTTATTTATTGACATGGAGTCTTGCTCTGTTGCCAGGCTGGAGTGCAATGGCACAATCTCATCTCACTGCAACCTCCACCTCCCTGGTTCAAACGATCCCCCTACCTCAGCCTCCTGAGTAGCTGGGACTACAGGTATGTGCCACCATGCCTGGGGAGTTTTTTGTATTGTTTAGTAGAGACAGGGTTTCACCATGTTTGCCAGAATTGTCTCAATCTCCTGTCGTTGTGATCCGCCCACATCAGCCTCCAAAGTGCTGGGATTATAGGGGTGAGCCACTGTGCCTGGCCCAAGAAACAGGAATTTAAACAGTCAATAAGAAAATAATTGTCAGGCTGGGAGTGGTGGCTCACGCCTGTAATCCCAGCACTTTGGGAGGCTGATGCGGGTGGATCACAAGGTCAGGAGTTTGAGACCAGCCTGGCCTAACATGGTGAAACCCCCCCTCTCTACTAGAAATACAAAAAAATTGGCGGGTGTAGTTAGCTTTTACCAAACACGACTATAAATGTCTGTGCATTTGTAAGTTGTAGATTATTTATCAAATGTACTGTGACAACAAAGTCACATTCCCTGGGAGAGTCATACCAGTGTCAAGCAAGCTTATTAGAGAAGGCTCTAGGCCAGGTGCAGTGGGTCATGCCTGTAATCCCAACACTTTGAGAGGCTGAGGCGGATGGATCACTTGAAGTCAGGAGTTTGAGATCAGCCTGGCCAATATGGTGAAGCCCAGTCTCTACTAAAAATACAAAAAAATGGCTGGGCTTGGTGGCTCATGCCTGTAATCTCAGCACTTTGGGAGACCGAGGCAGGTGGATCACGAGGTCAGGAGTTCAAGACCAGGCTGGCCAAGATGATGAGACCTTGTTTTTACTAAAAATGCAAAAATTAGCTGGGCATGATGTCAGATGTCTGTAATCCCAGCTACTCGGGAGGTTAAGGCAGAGAATTGCTTGAACCTGGGAGGCAGAGGTTGCGGTGAGCCAAGATCGCGCCACTGCACTCCAGCCTGGCTGACAGAGTGAGACTCCGTCTCAAAATGAAATAAATAAATAAGTAATTTAAAAAAATTAGCTGGGTGTGGTGGCACATGCTGGTAATCCTAGCTACTTGGGAGGCTGAGATAGGAGAATTGCTTGAACCCAGGAGGCGGAGGTTGCAGTGAGCCGAGATCGAACCATTGCACTTTAGCCTGGGTGACAGAGCAAGACTCCATCTCAGATAAATAAATAAAAGAAGAAGAATAGAAAATGCTTTAATGTGATATCAAAAAAACAAAAGCAAGAAACCGAAAAATCCTTTTTACCTTTTTCGGGTTTCCAGAAATTATTCTTTCACAGCAAAGAAGAACTCAGCTAGCTTTGGAGAGAAGCTACCTGGGTTACTTAGTGTATGAACTGGGACAAGATACCAACTTACCCGTTCTGGGCATCAGTTTCCTGATCTACAAAATGGGAACAATAATACTGTGATAGAACTTATTTCTCCCACATGAAAGAATATAGAGCTATAAGACAGGGTTCACTTTTTTAAATTATTCTAATCCTGGTCTAAGAATGGTTGATTAATACTTGTAGATCTTCTTACTTCTGGGTTTGTCTGACCAATATGAGATTGGGAGTGAGAATCTGTACAAACTGAAGCCAGACCCTGCCTAGACTGGCCAGAATGAGAAGAGAAGCAGGGACTTGAGACAGCAAGCTTTGAGGCCTGGGAGAATGAGATGGGCTAAGAAGATGAAGAGTCGGGCCGCACGTGGTGGCTCACGCCTGTAATCCCAGCACTTTGGGAGGCTGAGGCGGGTGGATCACCAGGTCAAGAGATTGAGACCATCCTGGTCAACATGGTGAAACCCGGTCTCTACTAAAAATACAAAAAATTGACTGGGCGTGGTGGCACGTGCCTGTAATCCCAGCTACTCAGGAGGCTGAGGCAGGAGAATTGCCTGAACCCAGGAGGCGGAGGTTGCAGTGAGCTGAGATCGCGCCATTGCACTCCAGCCTGGGTAACAAGAGTGAAACTCCATCTCAAAAAAAGAAAAAAAAGAAAGAAAGAAAGAAAGAGAGAGAAAGAAAGAAAGAAAGAAAGAAAGAAAGAAAGAGAAAGAAAGAAAGAAGGAAGGAAGGAAAGAAAGAAAATGAGAGAAAGAAAGAAAGAGAAAGAGAGAGAAAGAAAGAAAGAAGGAAGGAAGGAAAGAAAGAAAATGAAGAGTCAAGATCTTGAGACATTTGCAGGGGTAGCTGAGCAAAAACACAGTTTAAATGGTCTACTTGAATATCAGCAGTGGACTGATGGTTATAAACAGAGTGACAAGTGACATGATTATTAATAAGTAAAATCTAATTTTATATGTTGGTAACTTTGCAGTTTCTTGACTTTTACTGTTCTTTGTGCTTTCCATTATTTTACCTTACCCTCATCTACCTCTGAGATGGGCAGTAGAGGTACTATTCCGTTTGACTGAGAACTTCACACAGTCAGGAGCTTCATAAGGTGATTTGCTTCTGTGTCTCTGCACACTGAGACCCTTCAGAAACTAATTTAAATGGAATTCAGCTTCCATTGTGCAGATGAAGAAACAGGCCCGGTGGCAAAGCCCTTACCTAAGGTGACACAGTGGTAGAACTGTAAGTAGAACCCGAGCCTCCTGTCCTCTAATAGAAGCTCTCCTATGCCCAGTGGCTGTAGAGGTTGGTACTGCAGAGTCTACCTCGCATGCTCTGGGCAGTGTGCCTCGCATACCCCAGGCCTCTGTATGTGGCCAGGAGTAGAATCTAGGTGAGAGCCCAACTAAAGCACCAGGCTAAGTTCAATGTTCCTGCCTTTTGGCCCTGGAGAAATGCTGGAGAGCCAGGCATGGGGTGCCTGCCTGTAGTCACAGCTAATCAGGAGGGTGAGGCAGGAGAATCACTTGAACGCAGATGTTTGAGGCTGCAGTGAGCAATGATCATGCCACTGTACTGCAGTTTTGTGCTACAGAGGCAGATCACATCTCTTTAAAAAATTTTTGGCCAGGCACGGTGGCTGAAGCCTGTAATCCCAGCACTTTGAGAGGCTGAGGCAGGTGGATCACGAGGTCAAGAGATCGAGACCATCCTGACCAGAGACAGCTATCCCTTTTAAAGTCCTCCCTAAAGCGTTGTTGTCTTGCTAACCTTTTCAGCCATTCACACAACAATCCTGATCATAAACTGGGGTCAGGAAAACTGGCTAGCTGAACCCGCGTGGAGGGAGGAAGCTGAGT